TAATAATAATAATAATAAACTTTCATTGTATATGCTCTGATTGTTTTATTGTACCGCCCTTTTACTTTTATTAAAAGGTTAAATTTTTAATTTGGTCCCTAAACTATTATACAAATTTTGATTTGGTCTCTTAACTAAAAAATTCCTAATTTGATTCCTAAACTATTGTATGAATCCCCAATTTGATCCCTACTATTTACCAATTTACCTCAAGTTGGTCATTCTATACAAAAACAGCTGTCGTGTCTTGTTATTAACGTGACACATAACCGTTAAGTTAATGTTTTCTGTTGTTAAGTTACTATTTTTTGTAATTAAATATTAGACACATCAGCTTTTTTTTGTACGGAAGAATTAATTTAGGACAAATTAATAAACAGTAAAGACCAAATCAAGGGTCCGTACAATAGTTTAAGGACCAAATCGAAAAATTTTTTAGTTTAAAAACCAAATTAAACTTTCGTATAATAATTCAAGAACCAAATTGAAAATTTAACCTTATTAAAAATCAGTACCTCACCTTACAGGAGGAACCCGATCCATTATCATCCTCGTCCTTTTTTCATTGATACTATAAAAATTAGGAAATTCATTAGAAACTATTCGAGAATTTAGTCATATGTCAATACATTTTGTATAATCAATGTATTCCCAGCCTTATAAAGAAATGATTCATAATATTTTAACAACCGAACAAATCTAGTTGACTGAGTAACCATATAAGGATTCAAAAGTACAACGCAAATTATTGGGTTGTATCCAATTGCCAGATAACTTTCAGAGTCTGAATTTCCATCATGACCACTAGATTCATGTACAACCCTGCCTATAGAAAAGGTGCCTTGAATCAATGCTTTTGCACAAATAATAAAATTAATGTTTCTTTCAAGTTAAAATTTGGGTAATGGTTTAGGGTTAGACACAATTAGAGATGACCTCTGTTTAGTTAGTGATATATCAAAAAAATTATTAAGAGCAATGACTTGTCTTCTGTTAATTTTCTAGGAAATCAATAATTTGAGTAGAATTCAGTTCAAAAAACTATTACTCCTTTTTTTTAAAAGATAGTTGGTATGTTAGAAATGGAGGAAAGATGTACCTAACTAATTAGTGATTGTCAAAAAAATCATTGGCAGAATAACCCATTTCTTGATTATTTTGGTAATTCACTAATTCCTTAAAATTCAATTTTTGAAGAGAGTATTGCTTGAAGTTGCATCTCTTCATTTTTTAAGAGAATGGTGGGCTAAAAACTGGTGGAAAGAGAAAGCACATAGCTAGAGAATGGAGATAACTCAGATAGGTTAGTGATTTACCTTGGTTAAAAATTGAGCACAACTGAATTATGATTAATGATACACACACGAAACCTCATAGTCATGCATGTAGTCATATAACCAAATTAATTTACCAATTATAGTAACCCAACATAAACTTAAAAAATATATGTTGCCCCAAAGAAGAATTAAAACTGAATTTCAAATTTGAAATGCAAGTCCACTTAATTTAAGGAAAATAATTTAGAAATAATTTTTTATATCATATTTTTATACAACTTTATATATTATTTAAATAATCAATTTTTTTATTTATTTGAAACTCATGATATTAAATGTATTCACTTATTTAGTGACATTTAAAAGTTATATAAAAACTAATATAAAAAGTTATTTCTATATCATTGCTATTAAGTAATAACTAATTTAACAGCAACACATGTAATACATCACTATAATTATAAATAATTTTATTTTTAGTATTATCTTAATAAAATTCATCATCGTATCATAAGTTAGTGTAATGAGCAACGACTTAAAATATATTATTAGAAAATTATAGTTCTGCCCACCTATGCAATTTGCTACCCTCTCTATCCCATGATAGTTATTTTTTTGGCAAAACCATAAGTTAAGCCCCTGAATTAACCTCAGAATCGCTATTAAGCCCCTAAACTTTAATTGAGGCATATAAGCCCTTGAACTCTGCTATCAAAGCAATTAAGCCCTTCTTCTTACCATAAGTTACGAAAAAATACAAAGGGCAGTTAAATTTGGCGTGAGAAGAAGGGCTTAATTGCTTTGATAGCAGAGTTCAAGGGCTTATATGCATCAATTAAAGTCTAAGGGCTTAATAGCGATTCTGGGCTTAGTTCAGGGGCTTAACTTATGGTTTTGCCTATTTTTTTCTCTCTAAATTGAGATTTAATAATTTATTTATATTATCTTTAAGAAAAAATTAAAAGATAAAAAAAAAAGTTTTGATATGATAATTAATCAAAATAAATATATAATAATACCCATGAATGGGTGGATGAATTGGCATGGAACTCTTCTAGTTTAACCAAAAGTTTTGATTTCAAATCTTGAGAATGCAGTTCCGTTAAAACTCATGAAAAAGAGTTTTGCCATCGTTGGGTCTTATCCAACTCGAATCTAGATTAGTTGGTGGCTCATTGGGTTTCTAGATATCGAGTGGTTCATACAAAAATAAATAAATAAATAATGATAAGGTTAAAGTAAGAAAAAAATATTTGATTGCCTAAAAAATAAAAAAAATAACAATTAATTTAAAATAAATTTAAAGTAAAAAAATAACAATTATTTTGAGAAAAAAAAGAGTAATTAAGATGAATAAATTTACCTTTTACTTCAGATTTTGAGAGCTGAAAATCATTTCCAGACTTTTCCATTCGTATCATTCCT